GACACGGAAGTGAAACTTAAGGCGCAGCTTTATTGCTGGGAAAAACCTCGTACAAACTAAACTCACCAAAAGAAAACCAAAAGTCAGAACAGAGGAACCAAGGACTGAAACACTGGAAAGAAACACTAAACTGGAGCAGGAGACCAAACACTAGGAACATAGAAGCAGAACACACAGCTAGTTGAGGGTACGACGCGACACTGACACAGAGAAACACAGGGCTTAAATACACAGACGGCAGTAATCAAGGGATGAGAGACAGGAGGGGAACACACCTGGGAGAAATCACAGCTGACGAGACAGGGGAAACGTAAACTGAGCACACTCACATACGACACAAACCTTCACAATAAAACAGGAAACTCAGACACATGGAACCAGGCAAGACATTGAACTAAACAGACAGATTCACAAACAGATGGGGTGACACCATAGACAGAGACAGACTCAAAGGCAGACCAAATATAACACACAGAACTCAAACAATAATCATCATGAAAATGATAACAAACTGAAAGCGCTGGGTCACCGACCCAGGACCATGACATTTACTTAGTTCTTCACTCCTTTTTGAACTCAACAACATTTTTCCTCCCTCACCTTTCATTGCTTGGAAGTCTAATTCACTACTAAGTCAAAAATGATTTGCACATCTTTACACTCTTTTTTCACTAATAGATTTTATGCAATGTTCCAAGTCCAACATGCACAACGAACAACAAGCAGGGAAGATCTGAGCACTTATTTCTTCATAGCCTATGTAGGATTAGATTTTTTTCTTCAGTGCCCCCCTGTGAAGGTTTTTTAAACAGTAAGTGAATGGCCTTGCATGCACAAATTTATTTGCTTTAAAACCTGGTTAAAAGGCAAGTTTCAAATGAAACAGTCCATGTGTGAGATTTCAGCCAAGGCAGAAAGGACGATCTGAAAAAAAGGTGCACATGATGTATAACTGCGTTCACTTATTTGCACAGCAGAATCTAACGTCAGCTAGAAATTCTAAGGAAAGGCTTGTTGGGCTTTGTTTATTCCAGACATCGGGTATCTCATGATCTCATGGGAGTCATTCCAGCTACCAGTAACTTATGTCAAAGGGGTGACTAAAGTGTTTTGTTTTTTTTTGGGGGGGGGGGGGGGGGGGGGGTTAAGGAGGAGGAGGGGGGGGGGCGTCAACTTGCTTAGAAGATAACCTGCCTGCTTTCAGACTGTCACAGACTGTTACCAGGGCCTCTCATGTAACTCAAAGATAAACGCACTCTAACAAAAGCCTTGGATTACTTTTAAAGGTGAGATATGATTTTGCAAATGGGACTTTTCTATAATGAAGGTCTTGCCAATTAAACAGCATAGGGGATTGTGGGTGTAGGTTCAATTGCTTTGTAAAATGGACAGACTTCTGTTCATCTGGTATCAGTCTGTGAAATTACCAGTGGAAGGCCATGTGTCAGATCCCCCCTCGGAGTACGATAAGGAAATAAGTAAGCTGGCTCATAGTCCTCATTCTCCTTCTACTTTTCTGTGGACTGCATAGCATGGGCTGGCTGGCACCACCACAGAGACCCAGTGGCACCGTGCGGGAACCAACGTCAACTTGTGATGAAAGACGACGGCCGATTGTTTCCTGTTATTGAAAAAGGACGCATGGGTGGGGGTGGAGAGTTGGGGGCTGGCTCCAATAAAAAAGGAATGCCATTGAAGCAGAGGGCTACTGTCCTTTAGCTTCAGAGGGACTTAAATACCTGAAGCAAATGCAAAGTGTGATATACGCCTCAGTACGAGAGCACTGCAGTTGTTTGAGCATCAATGGACACAAGTAGCACGCAGTCGTCTCTGTTTCGTGTCACATCCCATGTGCACTTCTTTGTTCATTCAGCCTGAAGGAATGTGGTCATTTTACAGAGTCCATACACAGAATACTAACCAGACTTAGAGACATGTGCTGTCTTCATTAAACGTGTCCACTAAACTGTGTACACGAAGGTAAGTTCAGAGTGACTTAGGCAGTTAAATATTTCTTTTACATTCCTATATTGCACATGTAAATCATTAGGGAGAGAGAAAATGAAAGAAAGCCACAAAACACTTGTGCAAGTGTTTGCTACTGGACTTTTGTGATTACTGTGAACGCTTTTGTTGCATTGTTGATTTGATGCGATGATGACTCCTCCGAGTCTGTTCAGTGCAAAAAGGATGTTGTGTCTACTCTTTAGAACTCTCACTCTTTCTTTGTGAGGCTGATGTAGCCAAATATAAACACAGTTCAAAGAAAAATCAAACTTTTTTTCCCCAGTTTTGGTTTTTAAAGTAAGCAGCTCGTAAAAATGTCACACTACTTTTTTTTTCTTAAAAAAAAATTACAAGGTGTTCCTACACATAATTGCAAATAACAAAATATTTTTGAAATGTTAAATAAGTAATTAATTTATGTATGTACAATTAAATAAATGAACATTTTTTAAATGTTTCCTTGAGTTTTTGAGCCGTATTTTTTAGTCTCAATTCTGCATTGCTCAATCTTCATGTTTGCAGGTTATGAATGCAAGAATAACTTTAATGATGTCTCATATCCACTTTGCTGGCATTGAAAAGGCAGCCATGAAAAAAAACTGCATATTAGTTAATGTAAAATGTGACAAAATGTGGTGTGGGAACAAATTTAGTGAATAAATCATGATTTAAATGAGATTATAAGTATCACTTAAGTCTCTGCTTTGCTGAAGGGACCAGAGGGAAGCTGGTGTGGCCCAGTGATGAACTTCAAATTAATACATAAATACCATTTTTCTGTTAAATTGTGAATATGGTTTCTCTCCTTTTTAAAATGTTTTGGTCTTTTACTTCTGTCTCCTTGTGCCATCCTCCCCTGTAGCACTTCACTTGTGAATTTGCTCCTAACTGTTAGATATAAAGAGCACTCAACTGACAACAGATTGCATTTTCCCCCTCATTGGTGAAAATGTATTCTGTATACTGAAACTTGACAACTGTCTTGTTGTAACTGCTTGCAGGTGACACTGACCTTGCTTACTATATAGCTGTCAAACTTAGTGTCTGACTTCTTGGATCCTAGTCCAAAACAATCCCATCTTAATACACTTTAAATAATCTATAGTGTCCATGTGCTACTTTACACCATCACCACCACAAACGGGAGTCATAAAATGCACGACCTTTGTGCAATATGGTAATTATTGGCATTTACTGCATTGTGGGGATATTAGTAGAAAATGGTGTACATAGGAAAAGCACCTTCAGTGACACCTGGTAAATAATTTTAACTAAAATGGACCTGCTAATATCTTTAAATTATGCATCGGTTTCCTAAGTATAGACCATTAAACACAGCACTGACCTTTACCTGATAATAGGTGTGTAATTTCCATAATAGCACTGTAATGACACCGATTATGCTTCCCCGAGGCATACAAAAACTTACTTCCATATTACACAATTCTGTGTCGGTCTGGGGACAATACTGTACATGAATAGGCGTGTGACTGGAAATAGAAATGAACGTGCATAACTCAAAATGAGCAACAATTTAGTGTGCCGTCAGCTCTGGGCAGCTTGGACTTTGTATATATGTGCATAAGATGAGCAGACATCTGAACCTTCTTGTCTCACTGAAAGATGAGAAACCAAATGTTGTTGATATATATTTGGTAACACCTGTGCTCTGTTGTGTGGCATATGTGCCATTTGGTCTTCTCCAAACACATCACATTTCCTTCGGGATTAATAAAGTATTCTGATTCTGATTTGGACAAGTGTGGAACAGAAAGATATCTAGCCGTATCTCTGGGAATACTCTGTTTCACCACTGACTGCAGGCACTAGTATTCTGCTTAAGTCACAGCTCAGTAAATTTGCTCGCAGCAGCAGTTTTGTAATTACGGTAAATGCTTTTGTTGCACTGGTTTTCATGACACCGCTGAGCCTGATCAATCTTGCTTTTCATCACAACAAACCTAATATATTAAGAAAAGGTCTAACAACGCACTGGTGACCAGAATGAGTGGATGCTTCTAATATACACTCACCAGACACTCCATTAGGTACAGTTTGCTAATATTGGGCTGGGCCCACTTTTACATTAAGAACTGTCTTAATTCTCTGTGCTAATGATTCTGCAAAGTTTTGGAATGATTAGTCTGAGATTTTGCTCTATATTTACATGACAACATCACAGAGTTGCTGCAGATTTAATGGCTGCACACGTACTGTGTTGACTAAGAGACAATCTTCTACACACTTTAGTTGTAGTGAGTGCTTATTTAAGGTGTTATTGCCTTCCTATCAGCTCGACGAAGGCTAGCTTCTCTCCTCTGACCTCTGGCAAAAGCAAGGGATTTTTGTCCAGGCAGCTAGATATTTTCTCTTCATCAGAGATTTTTCTGTAAAGCTGAGATGGTTGTACATCTGAAGTTCTCAGACCTATATTGCCATATTCACAATCTCTTAAATCCTCTTTCTTCCCCAGTCTGACACTCACTTGGAACTCCAGCGGGTTAACTTGACCACACTGGGCACACTTAACTGGGCTGGGTTGTTGCCATGTGTTTGTTAGACTAGATGTTTGCTTTAACCGGCAGGTGAGTGTAGATGATCGGTGTTTGTGCCAGATAAAACAGCTAAGGCTTGTGGAGCTGATTCCAGAAGGTTCATATCCTTTGCTATAAAACTTGGCCTATGTTATTCATCCTTCTCCTGAAAGTCCAAGCCCATTTTGGAAAGTACAGCTACTATGTGTCATAGGAGTTTTTCTTTTATTTCAACAATATGATCATCATTCATCAACACATGTATAAGGCATGTTTTCCTTTCTTATCTAAGCATGCCCAGCACTAGATACGTTTTAAATACAATAATTTCGCCCCGTGCGTTGTCACAGTTGGTTTCAATAGTAAAGTCTTATTACTCAAAAACTCCACGGAATGACAATAGCATGACGGTGGGAGTGCTTATTAGACTGGGAGGGCTGCTGAAGTAAATTCGCACCGCCCAGAGAGCACAAAAAAGTTTGGAAAGTCCAGGCATCGTTACATTGCTCAAAGCACCACATCCCCGCCCGTGGATTATAAACCTACTTTGTTCGAGATAGACACCTACATAAAAAGTAAGTTTTGCTGTTTATAACTTTCTCTACTTCATCTTTGTAACTCTCTGTGATCTGTGATTCATTTCCTGAAAGTTTGTTGGGAAATGTCTGTGTCTAGATTCTAAAGAAATCCGGCTTCATGTCCGTTTAGAAACAATTTAATGCGCATGTTTTGGTCAAATAACGCTGTGAAGATGCCAAATGTTAGAATTGCGAAAACACGGAATTATGGGAGGCAGAAATGGGAGGCGTGCGTGTGTTAAAGTCAAACTACTTTCTGTATTAACGCAGTGCCTGATAAAATCCGCGCTTATTACTTTACTAATATGCACATCTGTGGATTTCAAAAAGCACGTTAGTCCATGGGTAAGTCGTTTTCTCTCTTACGGCAAGATGTTGCGGGAAATAACGAATTAACGAGACATTTTGTTTTCCATTTGGAACTCCATAAACAGTTTACACAGGCTCTTCCTTTTACTCTATATGAATCATATAACAGGAGCAGTCTCCTTCTTATCTGATGCTGGCATTGTGGTATTATTTAAAGAAAACGGTGCCGTGGTGCTTCCTGAAACCGTCGGCCAGAAGCATAGTGACCACCAGATAACCTCTAGGTTCAGACCCTCATTGTGTGCCAGGAAGACGGGCAGAAACATGATGCGATGAGGAAGAAATGTAAGCAGCTGTCTCCACCAATAATAGCATTACAATAATCCTGTTAATAATAAATAATAATCACCATAATCGTGGTTGCTTAAAAGCAGAGACCAAACTCGTGGCATAAGCTGTCCATTACACACATGTGGACACTTGGTTTGACATCGCACGCTGACTCTCAGAGGGACATGCTGGAAATTGGCAGTTAGTCAGAGCCTTATCAGCCATCACGTCTCCTCCTCTCCTCACCATTTCCCCAGCTTCTTACTTTCTGACCTTTCCACCTTTTTAAGACTGGAATTGTTCTGCTCTTCCTCTGTCACAGTCTTTTGCTGCTCTGCCACCAGACAAGCACGCTTCAACCTCCGCCCGAGTGTCTTCACACCCCAGAGACTGAGATTCAGCTTTCTCCCAACACCTTAAACTTCAGCAGCAGAGATGGAGGATTGCGTGACACGGTTTGCCCTTTTTCTGTGCATCATCGCTACTACAGCCTTTGGTAAGTCTGCCTGCTGTTATTGAGCATTTTAGCAGTTCAGATCTGAAGTTAGTTTCCGTTCTTTCTTTTTTTCTTTCTTTCTGCAGCTTGATTTTATTAAATTGGGAAAAAGGAAAACATTATCATCCTAGTCAGCAGACACTAGCTTTAAAAAAACCCTCCAGGGACTGTTTCTGGCCTAAAGTTCAAGATCGTCTCCTGTCTCGTGCTCTGACAATAATGTATTTTCTTTTTAGATGGAAATCAGTCTGAAGATGAAAAAATTACATGCAAAAAAGAACAAAACTCTTGAATTATGGTTGAATTTTACAAATCAAATGAAGAATTATACTGGTAACAAGGGAGCAAGTGTTGTTCCAAGTCAGCCAAAGCATTTGTTTGTCTAGTTTTTCATTTTTTTTTTTTAGTGCTAAAAAATATTTTCTTTAAAGATTGTCCAGATTCAGGTAACAAGACGGCATGCGGATGCTACATAGATTTTATGTGATCTTCCTCTGTTGTCCGCTCTGCCATTCCCTGCCTTGGCTGCATGTGGCTGCTCATATCGAATTCAAACCTGTAATCCCTGCGAGGTAGCAAAAGGATCAGAAACCCCCCCTATCTCCATAGGCCTTAATCCAGCTTCGCTCTCTTACCTCCAGTGATGCTTCAGGGTGTTTGCGTCACACTTCCCCACAGCAGCATGGCATTTGAGGTGGCCACAGTTTAGGTGTTTTTTTTAATAAGGTTAAAAAAAATGTTATATATTTCATGTTAAAACATTAGCAGGTAAAAATGAATTAAAGTGCACATTTTTTTGTTACAGTCATCTTTCCCCCCCTCCAAATAAGAGATATGCTAATCTGAATATGAAAATGTTTCACTTTTAAAAACAAGAAATTATCAGTCTTTTATTATTAGCTTTAGGGAAACCTTTTATCCCAGTCTGGTTGTTCTGAATTGTCAAGTGTTAAAAGCTACGAGCCTCAATTTAATAGCTGACTGTAAATGTAAAACACACATTTCCTCACTCGAAATGTCATAAAAGAACGCATAACACGCCCTGGTGTTATTTAATACAGCTTTAAAATTAACTGTCAGTTAAATGGTGCTTGCATTTTTCAGTGCCATATACTTACATATGCAAAAAACAAAAAAACAAAAACGAAAACCTAACAAAACACTTAAGTGCCAAATAACCTTTTCCACACTCCAGCCCCATAAACATACAGTAGAAAAAATAAAGTGACATTTTCAGCTTGCTCTTTAAATAAAGCAAAGTAGCCGAGGCAAGCATACATCACTGTTAAAGTTATGCGCCAGAAAAACAAGCCTATTCACTGAATTTGGCTTCAGTGCTGACCTGCTGTATGACAAATCACAATATTGCCACAAGTGCTAAACACCCTCTCAGCAGGGGTGCTGGTGGCAGAAATACAGAGGTATTTTTTGGCCAACTGGCAGACCTATGGAGAGTTGACCTTATGTAGCATCCACCGCAGGGGATCAGTCTCGCTGTCTGCTGGTGTAGTCTGTGAGGAGCTGTTTTGCTCAGTCCTAATTGCCTCTGTGACACATAGTTCTGTATTTGCTATTATTTTTTTCTTTCTTGAATGAGGCTCTGCAAATTTTCCTTTTTTTCCCTCCTTTTCTTTGCATCTGCTGCAGCAGCTTTAGAAGAAGACCCAGAGGGAGCTGTGCCACTATTTTCAGGCGACAAAGCGCTCTGATTCTCTGTACATCGTTTCTGCTTTAAGTTTATTTCTTTATTATGTAGCCCAGTACTGTCATATTATTTAACCATTTTCTCTTATATAGTCTTCTGGGATTAATAATGCGTTCTTAAGTAAATCAAGCACAATCCTCAGGTGTGACATGCTGTACCCAGCGCCGTAAAATCATATTTCCAGACAGGTGATAGATACATAAATAGATATATGAGTATATATTCCGTACACATTTGGAAACATCCACTGTGATTCGATGTCTGCGTGTTTAATCGAATCCAAGTAAACTTCAAGTCACTGTTGGAGAAGACACGATGTGAAGCAACTGAGAAGAAGAGGTAAACAGAAAAAAGTAAATCAAAAATAGCCCGCAGCCTGCCACAAATCCCATGAAGCCCTTACCCAACTGCAAGAAATGGCATATTGTGTTTTGCTTCAGGTCAGTCTTGCTTTAGCTTTATTTAAGCTTTCCATATGTTTGACCCCCTGTCAGCTCCTTGAAATCAGACTCATGAAATCCTCGTGTGACGTTTAAAGCAGGGTTTGAATTTCAAACAGTTGTTAAGCTCAAAGTTAAAGCAAGCCTTATACTTCATGTATAGATCTTATTGGTATATTACGCACTCTGAGCTACTACAGATGCACAATCTTGCAAAATGACCCAGTAAAACCCAGAGGATTATGTTTGTACCCTTAATTCTAAGAGTCATATACTTAACGTGTGCACCTAATTTCCTGAAATTGGAAACTTAATTGCTCCTTGGAGCTTCCCTTGGTCTTCTGTCATGTGTTCATTTACCTTTGGACAGATTATTAGCGTTAAAGCGTTAGCAGTAAAAAAAACTTGGAGGCTAGGGCTTTTTCCTTAATGTTCCTGCACGCTTATCAATTCACTGTTGGGTTGTCTGAGACCAAAGGACTGAAATATTCTTCCTATTACAATAGTACAGACAGTGTCTTTCATTAAAATGACACTATCTAACTAATCCGGCCAAATTTAGAGACTCTATAGATGATAATAAGGTGGATGCCTCGCAGCAGTCCCTGGGTAAATCAGTAAAACTGCAGTCATCTTGTTAAGCCCACCAGACTCCAGTTCCTTAGCTTGCTGGCTTCCTTTCTTAAAAACGCAGACATGACTTTTGTACTTACCCTGCAATTTGACAAACACGGATAAATTTGGTTCGGAGGCCGTGTTTTCTTTAGCTCTGGATTATCTGTAAAGTCACCCTCTGCCTATGTCTTCCAGTGAAACGATCATCCGTTCTTTCATGTTACTGCATGATTATTAAAATTCTCTCTGTGTTGGGATCAGTCAGGCCTCTCTCTTTCTTGTTTGCAGCTCATCCATATTCTCTGGACGAGCTTCTGTCAGGCTCCAGTGAAACAGACAACATCACGCTGGTCTTAGTTTCACTACACTGTCTCCCTGTGAGGTCAATTGTGTTCAAAATGTTGCTGTTTGTTTTGAAGTTCTTACATGGTCCAAGCTACAGGTTTATCTCTGAGCGCCTCTGAAGCTGCGATGTGTCTGAATCCGTTTTAACTGTGGCATTTGCTTGTGTCAAGCTCATATAGACACTGTGATACGTTTAATAAACATGCAGTTTCCCCTCAGTTGTCTAACTCTCTTTAGGTTTTCCTTTTGACTCTTTTTTTGTGTAGTTTTTGACTCTTTCGAGTGTGAAGTGCAGCTACTGTGTCAGGTTTTCTTGCAATTGCATTGTTTTGAGGCATTATGTGAAGGTAACGCGGCACCTTCTCCGTGTGGATGTGGTAACATTTGTCTCGCTTACTGCTCGGCCTGTAAGTAGGATGACTTTTACTGATGTAAGCCAGTGCTTATGTTGTGTCACGTTAAATTTGCACTGGCTCACTGTTCAAAAATAGTGTGACGGAGAGTTGAAACACTGAAGACCGAAGACGCCTTTGTTTCCCTGGCACCACAACTGGTGCCTCCCTGTCTTGTTAAGAAGTCTACTTTCGTAAACGCCCCCACTTTCTCTTATAACTCTCTCATTAATCTTAACTTTCTAAGCACAAACTGCGATAACCCTCATGATGTCATCGGGGTTAATTTGCCTGACTTGAAAAAAGCCCCTCCAGGATACAGAGGACATTATGCAACTAGCTTTCAGGCTGTTACAAATGAACGGATCTTTGTGTATACAATCAGCGGAGTGCCCCTGTTTGGCCCTTTAGATCTAGACATTTTAGCATGTATGTAGTTTTGCTATCCAAGCGTCGCTGCAGATTGCGTCTGGCTAGCCGCTTATTATATGGGAGGTAGCTGCATGCCACCTCCTTTGAAGACAATTTTCAGATTATTATTTCCAGACCGAGCACAATAAGCGTTACCACTTAAGCCGACCGTGGCAGTTGGACGCATAAACAGTTATCTTTGCGTCTGACTGAAGTCTTTGTATTTAGTGATTTTTATCCACTGTGAGTCCGGCATTTCCTGGCAGGAAAATCGTGTTGAATATGCCCCCTGCTGCAACAGCTTTCCCAGTGGGAGACAGACATCGTGATGTTAACTGCCAGACCTCCTGCTGCACTTTTGCTTACCCCCGAGCCTCCCGCCACGGGCTAAAGGAAAAGTACAAAAGTGATTAGCGAACCACTGGAGAAGGACGACAAGCTGTCTGAAAATTAATCTTAAAGAGGGAAAGAGAGAGACAGGCGGACAGACAGAAACACAAACAGAGATAACAGAATTCATAAAGGCTGATTCATGGAGACAGTGAGGGAGTGGGGATCAAATTTATGTGACTGTCAAAGAGAAGATAAGTGGTTCAGAAGAAAGATTTTGGGGGGAGAAGTAAATAGTGGATTAAAAAAAAGAAAGATAAGAAAAATGCAAAACGGATAAACATTAAGAGATATAGAGGAGGGGAATTTCAAGTAGTGATAAGTGAAAATGCAAAACTATTAATTACACAAAATAATGACATCAAAGAGAAAGACGAGGGAAGAAAACTTCTGAAACCAAAAGAGGAATGTGTTCGTTTACAGAAAGGGGATGTCAGGGACTTAAAAAGATTATAAGAAATTGAAAGAGATGACTGAGACTTCTCAGAAAGCATGCTGAAGTAGAAAAAAAAGAAAAAAACACGTCATGTTAAAAATGGCTTTGAGAGTCAAAACAGTCAACTTCCCCTGTTTTACTGCAGTGAGCCAGCTCTGCCTGCAGTCAGACTGGGTGGCAGGGAGACGCGACCGCTTGTCGCTGCCTGAGACTGATTTCAATCTCCTTCAGTGTTATGCCCCTCCCAAATAACAATCCATTTCTGA